GGACAGGTGAGGCTTGGGGACCAGGGCCCCGGCCCCCCAGCACAGGCCGGACCCTCCCCCTCGCCTCCTGGTTCATTTTTCCTTATGAATGTTCATCCGTGTGTGTGTGCGTGTAGATTGATCATGCCTGTAACGCATCCACATTCCTCCCCAGTCCTGAAGGCACGAGGGAGTGTGCAGGGAAGTGGCCCTCGCCCACGGCCACCCCACCTCCCGCACCTTCTGGGGCCACCCTGTCTAGGCACCTCCCCGGACACTTCATGCAGCCCGAGCAGATGCGGGTGCCTGTGCTTGTCCGCCTTCCTGCACCGATGCGGCACGGCCACAGGGCTCCGCGCGGCCTTTCCTCCCCGCAAGGCCCCTGCGTGTTCCTTCAGAAAGTGCTTCCCCTCCTCCCTCTGCCCGCGTGCGGCCCACTCGGGAGGAGGCAGAACTGACTGTGCAGCCCCACTGTCCACTGCGGCCCCTCTAGGGAGACAGCAGGAAACGCAGCCGATGCGGGGCCCTGCCAGTCAGCTCCCGCGCCTCCTTCTCTGGGCCCCTTTCTCCTTCCTTCCGGGTCTCTTCCTCCCCTCCCTCTCCCCCTTTCCTCTCCTCTCCTCCCCGCTGCCCCTCACCGTTGCCAGTTCAGGTTCTGGGGGGCCTCCTGGACTCCAGACCCCACCCTCTGGAGGGCGCTGCAGGCCCCAGGCCCGCGGTGGGAGCTCTGACGCTGTGACACCACACAGCCTGGTCTTTCTGGATATGAGTTTGTGTATCTTATCCATAGTGTCTTATCTGTCACCAGCCCCGGCTGGGGCCTGTCACTTAGAGGTGGGGGATGAATTTTTTTGCAACACAATGAATGAGTGAGCGAGTGTGTCATGGGGTGTGTGTGGAGAGGAATATGCAGCCGCCCCTGCTTGGCCTGCTGCCCTCCTGGACCCTCACAAATGGGGGTGCGATGACCCTGCTCCCCTGACCTTGGACCCCTCTGTGGTGTGACAAGCCCCGCCAGCATGGCCTCCCCAGTGTGATCAGTTTAAAGGAAGACTTGACCCTGGGGCCCCGCTTCCCCTGCCGAGGCCCCACCAAGAGCTCACCACCACCCACTGCTCCTGCCTCTGGGCCTTTGCAGAATCCCCAGCCCTGGCATTAGCTGGCTTGGTAGTGGGGCCAGAAATACTCCTCAAGTGAAGGAATGAAGGAGGGAGCGCACTGTTCATTGTCAATTTTCTCCACCCTGTGCTGCTCCCTCCCGGGCCACCCTCCACCACCAGTGCCCGGGCCCCAGGATGAGGGCTGTGCTCTGGGGGGGCAGCTTCGGGTGGCAGGGGGGCGGGGGAGCTTCGTTCACCCTCCTTCAACAATCTCTTCGGGGAACCCTAACGCCGTGCCATGGCCCGGCTCAGGCTGGGCCGCAAGGGCCCCCTGGTCTGGTCGTACCTGCAGCTGGCAGTGTCGGGGGCCGCCACGGCGTACTTCAGCTCCTTCAGTGCCTACTGCGTCTTCCGGTTCCTGATGGGCATGACCTTCTCTGGCATCATCCTCAACTCCCTCTCTCTGGGTGAGTCCAG